GTAAGCCCATGTAACAGAGTAGAACTGTCCCCTAGGGTTCTGTAGGCTCCAAACTTTACAGAAGCATATTGCCATATCTTTCCCCTGTAGAGCCACTGAGTGGGTTTGAACTGCTGACCTTCCAGCTAGCAGCTGAGCGCTTAACCATTGTGCCACCAGGGCTCCTTGTCTGGTGCTTATACCCAGCTAAACCAAAGGTCACTGTCAGTGGAAGTGAGTGGCCATTTTTACATAAAATCACCATTGAGCAATAACCCCTCTTCACAGCCAATAGTTACAGTGTTAAATCTGGTGTCAAAATTGGCAGCAGAAATGTGTTTCTGCCGGAGGAAATGGTGACAGAAATAACACTGCAAGCTTAGCGTTTCTCTTTATAATCAGGATTTCTTGAAAATTAGGCATTGTTGCTCCACCGGAGGGTTTACAGCTGGTTAATCTGCACAAATGTACTCAGAAGAGACTGCTGATGATAAGATTTAGAATGGCAATAACATGTGCTGCCTGGGAGAAAGACAAAGACTGCAGCCCTAGTCTCAGCTTTGATTTAGGAGCACTTTGTCTCCAGAGGCCACTTACCTCTAACAATACACTATTGATCATGGGGCTAAGGACTTCAGCCTTCTTGTTGCTCTGTGGAATCAAAAGTATGAAATTGATAGGTTAGGTTCTCATACTCTAAGAGTTGCCACATAAAATGTAATGCACTTGCTTTGTTGAGGAATCTCGTCTAGAAGGTGGAGAGGAGAAACTGGAACGCATACTGTAGACCAGACTTTGTTTTTGATGCTTCAGGAATGTGGTCTCATTTAATTTCAACAGAAACCCTAAGATTTCTGTAGGAAGCCAGTACCTCTATAACCCCCAATTTAAAGATGCTAAAATAGGGATCAGGAAGCTTGAGTAACTGATCTAAGGTCACATAGCTAGAAATGTAAACTTAGACCTTATGAACTATGGAAATTGTCAACAGGTCTGGAATTCAGGATGAGTAAGGATGAGTTATGTAAATTCAGGGTTGGCTCCTGTCTTTCTTTGAAATTTTGATGTTGTGCTTATCATGGATTTTTCTGCATTCATTTTGACTTTTTGAAATATTGCATGAAAATACTATCTACCTTGATTGCTGAGTTTTTGTGTGTGTGTGTGTGTGTGTGTGCTCCCTTAAATTTTGCACTTGAGGCAAGTCTCTCACTTGCCTCTAGTCCCAGGCCTGGTGTGTTGTTGTTGTTGTTATGTGCCGTCGAGTTGCACCTGACTCATAGAGACCCCTCCTTGGGTTTCCGAGGCAGTATCACTACAGAAGTAGACTGTCCAACCTTCCTTCCGAGGAGCAGCTGGTGGGTTTAAACCATCAGCCTTCTGGATAGTAGTAGTTTGTTTTTTCCTTTTAAATGTAAATATGGGTACTTGGTTATAAGATGTCTTTCACATTAGCATCAAAATTAAACATTCTGTAGATCCCAACTTGAAAAACATGAACATAGGCAAAGCACACAGCACAGAGCTGATATGAAGCAGGAGCTCAAAAAATGAGGGCTAGTCTTAGTATTGTTATTATTACAGTTAAACTGTGAGAGCTGGAACTCGACAGGACTGCCTTGTTTTTCTGGGTGTCGCAAGTTTTCCACCTTTGACAGGCTGCAGTCTAACCACTTTTCTATAGCTTGTTTTAGGGAATTTGCAGATTTTGTGTTATTGCTCTATCAATCAACAGCCTTCTCCATCTAAAATGCTCAATCTACTCAGACTATCAATCATTAAGAGGACTGGAAAGATGGAAAACAATCTTATCAGGCTGGCTTCCCTTACTGTACCTGGAAGGATTTACGGTAAACCAAACCAAAAAAACCAAACTCACTGCCGCTGAGTTGGATTCAACTCATAGCGACCCCTCCTTGGATTTCCGAAGCAGTATCTCTACGGAAGTAGATTGCCCAACCTTCCTTCTGAGGAGTGGCTGGTGGGTTTGAACTGCCAGCCTTCTGGTTAGCAGTCAGATGCCTTAGGCACTACACCACCTGAGCTCCTTTATGGTAAACAAAAGTATATAAATTAAATAGACCTTCACAGAGCAGCCTGCATTCATTGACACTGCTCTACTGAGGGTGAAGTAATGTCTTACTGGGGCAACCACAGTGGAGTCTTGGGAAAAAAAACTCTTTAAAAACCCAGTCATTTTAGTAAGTAACCAGAAAATCCATTATGGTATTTGCTTTTATGTTTATTTGATTATCAATAAACCTCTAAAATATAATCAAAATGAGGGCAATAAAATGACATTGGTTTTCAAAATCAATGAGATGTGCAAGCGATTTAAATGGAGTCTGGAGAGCAATATACATTCATTAACTTCAAGTTATGAATAATGGCTGCTTTTGAGATCAGACGATGTAAATGATTCATCATAACAGGAGATCAAGGATACTGGTGTGGTGAGATGGTTTCTTAATAAACTCTATTCTTGACTTAGATTTTTCTTTCTCCAAAATGACAACTTGTGTGCTCTGCATTTTAAGCACTCAAGCATGTGTACATGTGTGCACACACATACACATACACTCAAGGACACGCCCATCTACTACAACCTTGCCACTGAAAATGTGGATCAGGAACACTGGCATCACCGGGAGCTTATTAGAAATACAGAATCTTGGTTCTCATCCCAGACCCCTGTACCAGAATCTGCATTTTAACAAGATCTCCAGATGAAGAGAGCAATCATGAAGATGATGCAATGCTTTGTTTTGTTACACACAACGTCTCTACGAGTCGGACTTGACAGCAAATAACAATCAGGTGAAATGTTTGCACATTTAAGGCTTGAAAGCCTGATGCTGGAACACAATAGGTTAAAAGGAATGGGAAGTAATACCATGAATATTACTGCTCTGGACTGAATCATGCTCCCCCCAAAACCAAGGTTAGAATCCTCACCCCTATACATTTGGTAGGGAGCTCTGGTAGCATAGTGGCTAAAGCACTTGACTGCTAACCAGAAGGCTGGCGGTTCAAACCCACCAGCCACTCCTCGGAAGGAAGGTTGGGCAATCCTACTTCCGTAGTGATACTGCCTCGGAAACCCAAGGTGGGGTCGCTATGAGTCAGGGGCGACTCGACGGCAAATAACAACAACAACAACAACATACATTTGGTAATGTTATCTGGAAATAGGGGTTTCTTTGTCATGTTAATGACAGCATAAGCCATGTTCTAATTCTAGTTCCTTACGAGTTATAAAGACCATCACAGGCACAGAGACAAGGAAGCATAAATGCAGGAGGACGATGCCACGTGAAGAGCACCAGGGAAACGGACGGGCTGCAGGAGCATAAAGAGACAAGGCCCAGCCCCCAGAGCTAACAGGGAGCCTGCCCCTAAAGCTGGTGTCCTGAATGCACACTTCTAGCTTCCTGAACTGAAGAAAATACCTTTCTCTTCTTTAAAGTCACCCACTTGTGGAAGTTCTGTGACAGCAGCACTAGGAAATGTTGACAATTACCCACTAATACAGATGAACTGATGTTTAATGTGAATCACATAAAACATATAATACAGCACACACCCTCATTACCAGGTAACTATAAGGAATCAAATAGTTGGTTATTTGTCTGATGTGTCTGATGGGCAGTGAACGGGGATTAAGAGGTCATTGGAAGAGCCTGGATGGATCGGCTAATAGCCACTCCTGGCCTCAGTGTCCTCACACAGTGAACTGTGAAAAGAGGGAGGAGGTCCAGTAGAGCCTTGGGAACCCAGGCTGACAAGGCTATCCCGTCCTAATTAAAACCTCATGCCTCTCTACAAACCTAGCATTTGCACCGAAGTTCACAGGTTTGAGTTAGCCCAGATAACACCGAGCACACAAATACATTTTACTGAACCTCTTTTATCAATAAGCTTCCATTTCCCCCATCACTCTGCCTGCAAACAGTGAAGGTCTATTGCTGAAGGTCTAAAATTAGATAAACATAAATGCTGTTTTACAAAACAGGAGAAGCAAACCAGATTCTCTGACAGCAGAATGCATAGGTCGTGTGTACCTCACCCTTTATTAATCAAGTCATTTAGAGACGTGTGCCTAAGGCATTTGACTACTAACCAGAAGGCTGGTGGTTCAAACCCACCAGCCACACGGAAGGAAGATGGGGCAATCTACTCCCATAGTGATATTGCCTTGGAAACCAAGAAGGGGTCACTATGTTGGGTCCGACTCCATGGTACATAACAACAGGAGACAGACATCTCTTGGTGTGACAGCCAGGTTCACATTCATTTCCCAGTTCTTTGAGAACTACTCTTGGCCTTGGAAGAGGTAGGGTGGGTGCACCTGGCTGCCAGGTCTGCATGATGAGTCCCCGTCCTCAGTCATTGCCAAGGTAGGCATCTGACCCATACTTTCTCACCTAGGAACCCAGAATTTTCAGTGGATAGATACAGGGTCTGGGGACTGATGCATCTGAGTCATTCATAGCAGTTTAGAGAGAGGGTCCATTACCTCTGGGGCTGGGTCACTAGAATGGCTCACGCCACTTCTTCCTGAAGCCCAGTGGTTTAGCATTCTCTGTGATACTCCTATCTTTAATAAAGTCCCCTAGTGGTTAAAGCATTGGGCTGCTAACGAAAAGGTCAGGGTTTGAACTCACCAGCTGCTCCATGGGAGAAAGATGAGGCAGTCTGCTTCCGTAAAGATTTACAGCCTTAAAAATCTTCTGGGGTAGTTCTACTCTGTCCTATATGATCACTATGAGTTAGAATCAACTCGATGGCAGTGGTAGTTGTGGTGATGGTTCTGTCTAAATAACTTAGAACTTATTGCTGTTACTTGCAACCAGAACTAAACAAAAATCCAATTGAAACAGGAAATAAAATCTGCTATATTTTATAGAAAGAGTCACCAACCTTTGCATCCAGGGCCTATGAAAAAAGGTAGAAAGTTTAAAAGGAAATATTTTCCACCTCTCTTCTCTGGCCTCATTAAGATGGGGTTGTATAATATGACGGATTTCTAAAGAAAATAACCAGATGCCACACTTCCAAATGAATGCTGAACCTTTCAAAGTTGTTACCTTGGGAAAAGAAACGCTTATGCCAATTGGCAGAATGTTCTTTTTTGGTTAAAGTTGAGGTGTGACAATTAAGCAGAGAAACTTGTTATCTTGCGTGGCTTATAAAATAGGCTCTGGGGCAACAGGGAATGAGAAAATTCAAAATGAATTATTTTTATAGAAATTCTTACATTATCTATCATTAAAAGAAGGAAAAGAAAAGACCCACTGCCGTCGAGTTGATCGCCACTCATAGGGAGAGAGTACAGACAGGGTGGGACCACTCTTTTGGGTTTCAAGGCTGTCAACCTTACGTCACTTCATCTTCCTCCCATAAAGCGGCTGGTGAGCCTGAACCACCAACTTTCTGTTAGTGGCTGAATGCTTTACCCACCGAACCGCCAGAGCGCATTAAATTATTTATCATAGATATTAAAAACCAAAAGGAACCTTCACTTGGAATTTTTTTTTTTTACAAATAAGGAAAATGAGGCCCAGGGAGGTCTGAAAACTCACTGAAACTCTTGCATCTCTGAAAGACAGGCCCAGGGCTAGGGCCCAATGTGATAGAACCCTAAGCTGCCTGTCATCAGAGATGGTACTCTTAGCCTGGTCTTAGTGGGTATCTTGGCAGAATTTCCATTTTTTGGAGCTATGAAAGAATGTGCTGCTTCCTCCACTTTTCCTCATAGCTCTTCAAGTTTAAACAAAACCCCATACCCACTGTCATTCAGTCAATTCCAACTCACAGTGACCCTACAGAACAGAGTAGAAGCACCCTATAGGGTTCCCAAGGCTACTAATCTTTACACAAGCAGACTGCCTTATCTTTCTCCCACAGAATGGCTGGTGGGCTTGAACCACCAACATTCTGGTTAGAAGCTGAATGCTTTAACCACTGTGCCACCAGAGCATCTGCAAAGACCTACTGCCCTTAAAAAGTTGAAAAAAGAATAAATATTATAATCTTACCCCAACAGTGGTTAAAGAGTTTGTAAACTTCTTTGATAAAGAGGCCACTTCATTGCACATTGCAGTAGTTAATCTGAAATAAGGAAAAACAGGTATTTGGGGATTTTCAATAAAGTACAACAAATTAACCGGTATGACAATTAACTGATACAAACACAGAATCACAGTTAAAAGAACAGTACACAAGTTTGAAGATGTGCTATTGAAATGTGCAGTCAGTTTTCAATAATCTTCAATGACTCACAATCACAGCTTAACCTAATCCTGGTTTCTCTGCAGGCTTAAGTAAAGAGTCATCTAACTCACTTTTTTTGGAATCAAAATTGTATGCAGATGAACACAAGGCTTGAGCTCCACTTGTATGGGTGCATAAACTCTTTTGCCAGGTAGCTTTTCTCCAAATCTGTCATTTTTCTAAATAATAGGGAACATTCATTGAGGCACTATGTCACATACACTGTAGTGTGTCTTACATCAAGTCTCTTTGCAAACACTTCCTGGAATATCTAGTTAATTCTTCTTCTTGCTAACAGAATGCATTTCTTAAGAAATTCCATAATTCTCAAGATGACTATGTAATGGTGGAAATGGTTGACTTGAAACCGGAATCTTTAGCATGTGTATGTGTGGAGAGAGGGACACACACACATAGATAGATAGATTCAAAAGGCACCATGTATCAAACTAGAAGAGTAACAATGGAAATTCACAGTTACTTTATCAGAACTTTTGCTTGGTCCTGAGCTGGTTTTTCCTCTTCTTGTCCATGAAGAATTAACTCTGCTACTTTATGAAGCTGCTCGATACAGCGTGCTGTTACTTCTGCCAGACTTTCAATGCACAGCATGTAAACTTCCTAAAATGTATAAACATGAGTGGGAAAATGACCTGCCAAGCAGACACATGTTATTTTTAAGCCCTGTGACATTAAAAAATGATACAATTCTTGGGGGCAGGGGGAAGACAAATATGACATCAAAAAAAAGTTTACCCAAAGATTATGGGAGTGTCTAAGACCTTCTAAGTGGAGTGCCATGGAATGGAAGCCCTGTAGGGTCTCCATGATGTCATGAGCTTTGTTCACAGCTGCCTCCCCTAGAACTTGGAGCAATGCTGTGCCCAAACAGGCAGCTGTTCTCAGATGCATGTGGGAGAGGTGCTGGGTATTTTTCTTTAGAGTGATCTAATTTAAAAAGTTGCTTTCTCTAACATTAAAATTCAATGTAAGATGAAGTTACTGCAAACTCCCTTTCTGAACACAGGCAGGATATAAATTATGCACATATAAATTTATTAAACTACAGAATAAAAGCTACACCAATGAAAAATTTAAAAAAGCTTCAATTATCTCATTAGTTATAGGGCATAAAGACATTTTATAGTAATACATTTGCATAGAAGATGGAATTTTACCCGGAAGATAAATCAACTACGTTTTTAAAGATCTTTCTTTCTTTCCCCCTTTAAATTATAAAGTATGGAAAAAAGCTACAGATTCTATGCTAATCTATAGACTATCTTGGTGAAGAAATTGTAGTGCTTATTACAATACCACTCATCTTTCCATAATGGGAAATGGAGTAAAAATGAAAATAACATGGGCCTCTCTTTGCTGAAAATTAGACTGCTGATAAAATTAACCTGACGTTCCTGCTACAGGTGGACAACCTAAAATTAACTTACCTCTACTGTCTTCACTTTCCTTTCTTCCTTTGAGTCTTCCTTAGGGTTTGCAGCCTTCTCTTCCTTCTCTTCCTCCTTCATTTCCTCCTCTGACTCCTTTGCCATATCTGCTGACACCACGGTTTGATCTTCTTCCATCCAGTCATAGGCTTTCTTCATGGCCTGCAAGCCAGCCCCAATCACAGCAACACATTTATTGTGAAAATATGGAGACTAAATCATTTCAACCCCAAGACTAGAATCAAGCTACTTGAAGCCTTCGAGGGTGGTTCCCTGAAGGTTTTCAGAGTATTGGTGGCAATTCCTCAACCTATTTAAAAGAAGCCCTGTAAGGATCCTATATGGTGCAAAGAATCTACTTGACAACTCATCTAAAAGGCTGGCAGTTCAAACCCACCCAACTGTGGGAGAAAGGCCTGGTGACCTGTTTCCATAAGATTACAATCAAGAAAACCCAATAAAGCAGTGTATCTCTATAACTCATGGGGTCACCATGAGTCAGAATTGAGTCTACGGCAACAGTTCTTTCTTTAAAAAAAAAAATAAATAAATAAGAAAAGGGAAAAAAATAGAAAATGTGGAAGAAAACACTGTAGGGCCTGAGGACTTTTAAAAAACGTATTAAAAAGATATTCCGATAAGAATGAAAATGATAGCCATATTGGAAGTAAGATCTAAAGTATAATTTCCACTTTTCATGACCAACTATAAAAGAATAACAGTACTTTTTTAACGCAGGTTAGAAATTTAGCCTTGGCCATTGTTAAAGCAAATTTCCTCATCTGCTATGTCTCATGAAGCTCTTAATGTTTCATGGACCTGATAATGCATCACGCTGGGAAGATGAAGGATGGCTCTGCTGTTCTTGTATTCATGGCTGATCTTCCAACCCCAAGGGGGGAACAGAAGAGGTGCTGGGAAGAGCCTGGCTGGAAGAGCTCTGTGACTAGTTGACTTTCATGTGACTCTATGAGCCCAGTTTAAGCAACCTGTCTGTGGTCTTAAAAATTATGGCTAAATTGTAGAAGCAGAAAGCACGTCCTCCATCTGTTTATCCCTGAATTTAAAAAGCGCAGACTTGCCCAGCATTTATCATGATAGTTTAAGCTGCTTGCTTAAGTGACAGCTGTTCTGAGCTTATGCTAAACTCAGTACCCATTTTAAAGTGTAGACGGCAAAGCTTAACATGTCAGCATGCTGAATGGCAAAGTAACAGCAAGAAGACTTTAGGGGAAAAACCCAACACAACACTGCAGGTCTGCCTGAGGGAGGTCTTTGCTGTGTCCTCTTTTAGGGACAAAGGTTTCCCCTAACTATGTAAATAAAGCAGTGGAATCTTAAAGCCACCACACACTACCTCCAAGCAGTGGCAGGTGCGGTGCGCCTCAGAGATGAATGAGGCAATTTCCCACTGTGCTCACAGTCACCAACCTGCCAGAGTCGGTGACCCCTGTCGGAGATAAAGAAATTACTCATCTCTCCACCTCACTGCCTCATTCTGCCCTCTCCTCACTCACCTGGGTTAGTGAGTGTGTAAATCACTGCTTGCTAAAGAGAGGATAGGAGAAAAATAAAATAAAATAAAGGGAAAAATATAACACAGTTTTAAGTAATCAGTGATCAGTGTTCTCATTAACAAACTCTACAGCAAGAGCCTGGACTACTTGAAGACATACTGCAGTGTTATCAGAGAAGCCCAGACTGTTAACTGGAATGTTCTTAGACATGATGTAGCACCACGTAGCAGGTGTGAGGAGACATGTAGTTTACCTGGCTGCCGTGCCTCCTCTTCTCCTGAATTCTGGTGTGTCACTTTAAAGGGGGGAGGAGTTAAAAAAGCTCTTTGGGTGATTCTATCCCCTTCTTCCCTTCCTCATCTCCTGAATAGAAACCACTGGTCTAATAGAAAATCCTATTTTGCCCAGAGAAGGCAAGTGACTCATTCAAGGTCCCAAGGTAATTTAGTAGCAAAATTGCAACTAAAATACAGATCTCATGACACAGCATAGCACATCTCCACCGTCACATTTCACCATGTTGCTTTAAGTCTTACTTGCTAACCTCAATCTCCCCTTATTGTGCTAGGATGTTTCCATTTCAGATGGATCTCTGGACTTTTATAACGGAAAACTTTTTTTTTTTTTTTAAGAATCAGATGGTGCTGACCTTATTGAGTTTGTCAGGTGTGGCCGCGACATGTATTTCAAAGAGAAGATCTGTAAGCATGCTAGCAAATTCTTCTCCCCTTTCTTCTAAGCCTAGAAATAGAGAATGACAGACGAAAGAAGCATGGTTTAACTTTCATCCTTCTGAATGGGGCAGCTCCTTCAACTTTACAGCCTGCAGTCAGGGTCGATAGACTAAATAGAGGCTGCAGGAGCCTGGCCTCCGGCTGCTGGGCAAAGATGACTTTCGCCCTCTTATCAATGTAACAGTAAGGCAGCCGTCTGCTGGGTGAAAGGCTGGTGATGGCTTACTGCTCAGAGCTCTAGCTGGGACATGCTGGAGCTGGCCTAATGCAGTCTTGCTCATAGCGATGGGTGGTCAGTAGCTATTTGTGGAATGAGTGGATGAATAAATGAACGACTGTTCTTACGCATGTGAGAATGGATGGCTTAGAGAACTGTTAGCCAAGGCATTGCCACCCTAATGATACCCAAGGCGCCTTTTTTGTCCACAGAGCCACAGCGCCAAGTAAACAGAATTAGTCCCGATGGACTGTACACAATCTGATGTAACAGCATTCTATTTCTGGAGGAATCTCCCAAGGTTACCAAGGATAACCTAGGTTACCACTGTGTTGTTCTTAGCGATGTTCTTAGAGACTCATCTTGGCCATGAGTCGGTTTCAACTCCTAACGAGCCTATGACCGTAGAATGAAACACTGCCTGGTCCCGTGCCATCCTCACAATTGTTGGTCCTACAACACCACTGTGGTCCTACAATATTTCTTAGTGATCTGTCTTTCTTCCAGATTGGAAGCTGCCTAAGGACAGAGACAGTATTTGTTTTGCTCATTCCTGAATCTATAGCATCTAACACAGTGCCTGGAACATAAAAACCTGTTATTGTCAAATCGATTCTGATTCATAGCAACTCAAACAGGATAGAGTAGAACCACCCCATAGGGTTTCCAAGGGTATATTCTTTATGCAGCAGACTGCTATACCTTCCTCCCATGGAGAAACCATCAACCTTGCAGCTGGCAGCTGAGCACTTTAACCATTATGCCACCAGGGCTCCTTCCTGGAACATAGCAGTAGCAGTGCTAAATGAATATTTATTGGATAACAAAATTAACATCATTAGTGGGCAATCAAGTGAAGAAGAGATCTCTAAAAGCTATGCTCTCATTTTGCTCCTTAGTAGTAAGCCAGTGCCATTTAAAAAAGTTTCTGATAACAAACCAAAAATTCACTGCCATTGAGTTGATTCCAACATTGGGTTTCCCAAGCTCTAAATCTTTATGGAAGCAGACAGCCTCATCTTTCTTGGGCAGAGCAGCTGGTGGGTTCGAACCACTGACTTTTTGGTTAGTGGCCAAATGCCTTAACCACCTCACCACCAGAGCTCCTTTTCTGATAATAAATGCTAAAGAAATGAATCCCACAACAGGTTTACTAGTTTTTCCGGGAATAAAGGCATCATTAATCTGGCCTGACTATATGATCTCAAAACATGTTTGAGAAAAAAAGATTGTCTTATGCCAGCTACTGTGTGAGGCAGTACCTTGAAGTCCTAAGCTACCTGAGAAATACTTTACCTAACACTTGTTTGCTGTTTTCTGTTTTATAGACCAAATAGTTAACCAATGGTGTGTGAAGATTGTCAGAGTAACCTGTGGGTCTATTAAAAAAACACAAACATTTGGCTTAGATTAGTTTATTTTCATGTATAATTCATTATGACCCGGGGGGAGGGGTTGCATATGGTTAACATGCTTGCCTGCTAACCAAAAGACTGGCGGTTCAAATCCTTCCAGAGGTGACTTGGAATGAGGCCTAGGGTGTACTTCTGGAAAATTGAATCCCTGAAAATCCTGTGGAGCACAGTTCTACCTTAAAACACATGAGGTCTCCATGCGCTGGCACTGACTCGGGAGTAACTGGTTACTGGTGTAATTCATACATTCTCATGGAGAAAACAGATTAATAAATAAAATAGGTAAGTAAAACATACATCAAATGATAAATGTTATCTCAAAAAAACAAACTCACTGCCGTCAAGTCAGATCCAACTCACAGTGACCCCCCTTGGGTTTCCAAGGTGGTATCTCTACAGAAGTGAGTTGCCCAATCTTCCTTCCAAGAAGCAGCTGGTGGGTTTGAACCACCAGCCTTCTGGTTAGCAGTCAAATGCCTTAGGCGCTACACCATCAGAGCTCTTGATAAATGTTATGGAGAACTATAAAATAAGGAAAAGGAATAGAGAATGTTGGAGTTTGGGAATCTTAACTAGGATAGCTGAGAAGGTGACAGTGGAATAGTGAGCTGGAGGGGAGAGGGCTGAGCCATAGGATGACACCTGGGGGAAGAGCCTTGCAGACAGAGGCACAGCCAGAGTAGTGATCAGGAGGAAGTATGCCAGAAAGGCTCAGGGAACAGCAAGGCCAGTGGGGCTGCAGCAGAGCGAGTGAGTGTGTGTGTTGTGAGCACAGAAAGAGAGACATGGACAGAGACAGAGATGACAGGCTTTGCTCACAATGAAGCAGACACAACAGCAAATCACTTCAACCTAAGGAGGAAAGTGCTGTGTCTGAGGTGGTATCACAGCACCTAACGCAGCCCTGAGAGGCTTCCTGGAAGAGGCGACATTTGAACAGAGCTGTCTTGGTTATCTAGTGCTGCCTTAACAGAAATACCGCAGATAGGTGGCTTTAAAAAGCAGAAATTTACCTTCCATAGTTTAGAAGGCTGTGAATTTAGAAGTCCAGATTTGGGGTACAGACTCTAGGGGAAGGCTCTCTGTCCACTCTGTGGAAAAACCCTTGTTTTAGCTTCTTTAATGCAGTGTTTCTCTGGTCCTCATGGCATCTATCTCCCCCCATTTGTGCTTGCTTGCTAGGCTCTTTGTCTAATCTGCTCTTTTTTATATCTCCAAAGTCATTAGGTTTCTGTATATAAGCTTTTCCTTGGCTTTTTACAGCAGTGGTCTCATACAATATCTGTCCTTTTGTGATTGACTAATTTCACTCAGCATAAAGTACACACAGGAGGAAACATACTCTGAAGGTTACCAGGGTGGGATGGTAAAGGAGGGTAAATCACTAACTGGAGGGTAGACAAATAGTAACCTGGGTGAAGGGAAAGGCAATATACAATAAGGAAAGATCAGCACAAAATGATCAAGGCAAAGGAAGATGCTAAAGGAAGACTTAAAGGCAACAAAGGTCAATACTACTACATACCCAATCCTGCAATAACAGTACCAACAATAATCTATGAGCGGATGCACAGACACTCCAGCTGAACAGGTGTGGGAAGGTGAATGGGACCACACCCCAGACACATATAGGTGTCAGAAGGTATTTCTACATATGTATCTCTATGTGCCACAAATATATCCAAGAATACGGTAAAGAGTGCAGGGGTAAAGTTATGAAAAATTCATACCCATAACCAAACACTTTTAGGAAATGAATTTCTAGGCTTTAGGGGCTCAGGACCACAGTCTTAGAGGACATCCAGGTCAACTGGCATTAACGAAGTCCACAAAGAAAATGGACTACATCTTACTTTGGTGAATGGTGAATGGTGACTGGGGTCTTAAAAGCTTGTGAGTGGCCCTCTAAGGTGCAACTATTGGTCTCTCCTCATCCAGAGCAAAGAAGAGTAAAGAAAATCAAAAGCAAAAGGAAACAGTCCAAAGGACTAATGGAGCATGTGAACTCCAGCCTCCACGACCCTGAGACCAGAAAAACTAGATGGTGCCTGGCTACCACTGCTGACCTCTCTAAAAGGGATCATAATAAGAGGTCCTGGAATGGGAGAAAAATGTGGAACAAAACTTAAAATCATAAAAAAAGACCAGGCTTATTGGTCTGATAGAGACTGGTGGCACCCCAAGACTATGGCTCTTAGACCCCCTTCAAGCCTGGAACTGAACTCACCTCTGTGGTTCAACTTTCAGCCAAACAACAGACAGGCCTGTAAGATAATAGAAACACCAGGGAGGTATGCTTTCCTTAGAAAAATCAACCATATGAGACCAAAAGGGCAACAAATGCCCAGTGATAAAGCTCAGAAGGCAGGAAGGGATAGGAAAGGAGGAGGAATGGAAACAGGAAACACAGGGAGGAAACAGGGAGAGTGCTGTTACATTGTGGGTTTACAATCAGTCTCACAAAACAAAATGCGTGTGAATTGTTGAATGGAAAACCAACTTGCTCTGTAAACTTTCACCCAAATCACAACAAAAAGTTACATTAAAAAAAAGAAAAGTGAGCAACTATTGATTTCTCTGATAGGAGCAAAGAAGAGTGAAGAAAATCAAAGTCACATGGAAACAGTCCAAAAGACTACTGGACCTTGAGAACCTCAGTCTATATGACACTGAGAACCAAAAGAACTAGATGGTGCCCAACTGCCAATGCCAACCACTCAGAATGGGATCAAAATTAGAGATCTTGGATAGAGTGGGAGAAAAATGTGGAACAAAACTCAAAATAATAAAAAAAGACCAGGAGGTCTGATAGAGACTGGTGAAACCCCTGAGACGACTGCCCCGAGTCACCCTTCAGGCCTGGAATTGAACTCACTCCAGTGGCTTGATTCTCAGCCAAACAACAGACAGGCCTACGAAATGAAAACCTGCACCAGGCAGATGCCATACTCCTTAGAACAATCAACATGGGAGATCATAAGGGCAGCATTTGCACAGGGAGAGAGGTAGAGAAACAGGAATGCACAGGGAAGAAGGTCACAGAGAGGAAGTAAGAGGTGGGCTGTTACACTGTGGGGAATGTAACCAGTGCCACAAAACAAAATGCCTAGAACTGTTGGATGTGAAACCCACCCACCTCCTTCTCAAGTTGTAAGGACCAAATAACACAACAAATGTGAAAAATGTTTTGTAAACACTAAATTTTATGTAAACATAATGTAATGTGCTATGCAGATATAAATGTAGGGAGATTAAAAATATTTGGGATTAGTTAACACTATATTAGAATTTAAGCACTCTGTGTGGCTGTAGCGTTGAGATGTGCATTTAGTTCTATAAAAAAGAAAAATACACCAAGAAATTTTCAGCAAAAAA